TCCCAGCTACTTGGGAGGCTGAGGCAGGAGAATGGCGTGAACCTGGGAGGCGGAGCTTGCAGTGAGCAGATAACGCACCACTGCACTCCAGCCTGGGCGACAGAGCGAGACTCCCTCTCAAAAAAAAAAAAAAAAAAAGATGAATATTACAATTCTGCTCTTCTGTGATAGCAGAATTGTTTTTCGTTTTTCTTCTTTCTTTGTAATTACATGCTTGTTGCAGATAGTTTTCTATTTTCAAAGTTTTTTATTTAACATAAAATCATGATTATTCGGCTGGGTGCAGTGGGCCAGGCCTGTAATCCCAGCACTTTGGGAGGACAAGGACGGAGGATCGTTTGAGCCCAGGAGTTCAAGACCAGCCTGGCTGATACAGGGAGACCCTGTCTCTTTAAAAAAAAAAAAAAAAAAAATAGATGATTGTTACTTAACGTTAGCATCATTATTTAAATATTTAATGTTCTTGATTCAATTTCATTTTCATGTGGTTTTTTTTTTTTTTTTTTTTTTTGAGACAGAGTCTCACTCTTTCATCCAGGCTGGAGTGCAGTGGTGTGATTTTGGCTCACCGCAACCTCCGCCTCCCAGATTCAAGCGATTCTCCTGCCTCAGCCTCCTTTAGTAGCTGGGATTACAGGCGCCCACCACCATGCCCGGCTAATTTTTGTATTTTTAATACAGACAGGGTTTCACCATGTTGGCCAGGCTGGTCTTGAACTCCTGACCTCAGGTGATCCGCCTGCCCCAGCCTCCCAAAGTGCTGGGATTACACGCATGAGCCACCATGCCTGGCTTCATGTGAAATTTTTGAAGTGAGATTTCTTTGCATGACTCATTATTTCTCATTAGGGAAGCACGCTAGAGTGAAAGAAAAAGAAAGAGAGCACGAACGTCGGAAACGACATCGAGAAGAACAGGATAAAGCTCGCCGGGAATGGGAAAGACAGAAGAGAAGGGAAATGGCAAGGGAGCATTCCAGGAGAGAAAGGTGAGCGGACTGGGTCAGTTGAGGACTTTAATGAAAGGGTTGTCGTGTGTCCCGTCACAGCAATGAAGAAGAATTTGGCAATAGAAGTCACATTTGGTGCAGAAGTGGTAGATAGAAACAGCACAGTGAACACTGGACGAGGCTGACCAAGAGAACTGTCCTGAGGGGGTGAGTTTTTACTGCATCTGGAAGTCAAGAACGGGTGTAATTTGATTGAGGGAAGACAATGAAGGGATCAGAAATCTGCACGTCTGGCTGGGTGCGGTGGCTCACTTTATCCCAGCACTTTAGGAGCCTGAGGTGGGAGGATCCCTCGAGCCTGGATGGTCAAGGCTGCAGTAAGCCGTGATTGCGCTACTGCACTCCAGCCTGGTTGACAGAGTGAGACTCTGTCTCAAAAAAAAAGAAGGGGGATCCAAAAAACCTTGAAACAGTCTGGAAATCGGGACACTGGACTCCTAGGACTCCTGGGCATTAGTCTGTATGTTCGTTCCCCTTTATAAGCTCAGATTCATAAGAAAGAACATCAGTGTAGCCCCGCATCTGTTTTATGAACCAGGAAAAGGCTACAGGCCAGGTGCAAGCAGGCCCATCTCTGCCTTGAGAGTGAGTCCAGAGAAAGCTTGCAAGCTGCTTCAGGGAGGGTGAAGGCGTGGGTGGCCCTTCCACTTCAGACTGGCTTTCAGCAGCCAGGGCTGGGTGCACAGCATGTAAAGATGATGAAAGGGCACTGGTTCTTGTTGATGCCAAAGTGTGTGGGAGACACTGAGGCCCAGAGGTCAAGGTCCGAGACCAGTTGGGGGTGGGCACGGTTTCAGTTGGCCAAGTTCCTGTTAGTGTATGAAACATTCATGTATGCCAAGCCCTGTGCCAGACACCAAGTGTGCCTTGTCCCACAAGAGTGGAGCTTGGGATAGAAGTGTGGAGGTTGGTAGATGAAATTTGGGCTGTCATTGATTTCCCAGAAGGGATAGACAGGAGAGTGAAGGAGCAAAAAGTGTTGGGGGCAGACTTGTGGGTAGGGCCAGTTGAGATCAGGCAATCCAGAACTGGGTGTGGTAGCATATGCTACTTGGGAGGCCAAGGCCAGAGGACTGCATGAGGCCAGCCTGGGCAACGTAGGGAAACCTTGTCTCTGACAAAAAACAAACTGATAAGGATAATCTGAGAAGCACCGATGCTTGAAGAACTGCTGACTGTGGGTGACAGTAGTAAGAATCTGACCTTCTGGCCTGAGAGCTGCTCCCTCTACTGCCTCCACTCTGCACTTGGGAAGCACGGAGGTTCCACTGGGACAGGGCAGCCGCAGGACCTGCAGTTTCCTTGCTGCCTTGGAAGGGGTTACTCCATTTAGAGCAGTGGGCAGTGGCCTTGCCCACCAGCATCCTCAGTGGAGGGAAGGAAAAAAGGCCAAGAGGTCGGCTAGAATGAAGCGCAGGTTGGGAGCAGCTGTGATCTAGCCAGAGACGTGCAGCAGAGACCGGAGAGCGCTCCAGCTGCCGCCCAGTTCTGACCAGCCCAGTTCTGACCAGCCCTGAGGATGCAGCTGTGTGAAATGGCCTCACAGAAAATAGAAGCCGCCGCAGATGCGAATCAAGCCTGAACTTTCAGTGTGCTCCCTGTCCACACACATCCATGGGCCAAGGAAGCCTTACTGTGGCTTGAGGTATTTCAGCCCAGCCTCTTTCCAGTGCTGGCTAATTGCTAAGCTGTGCAGACACGGTGGTGACTCCTAGGAAGCCAAGGCTGAAAATTAAAATAGGCTTATGGGAAAGAATGGGGGTGGCCATAAGCTATGAGGGAGATAGATTTCACAGACAACCAGACAGGCCTCCATGGTAACAACTAAAGGGAAAACTTAGAATCCAGAACTGCTACAAATGTATTATCTAAAATACAAAGAAGTATGACAGTGTGACCCGTATTGAAGAAGATCATCAGTAGAAACTGTCTGAGTGTCCAGATGTTGAATTTAGTAAAGGCTTGGAAACAGCCTGTCTATGGAGCAGCAGAAATTATCCATTCTGAAGAACAGAGAGAAAAAACAAGAAAAATGAACAGAGCCTCAGAAACCTATGGTACAACATCTGCTGTACCAAAACACGTCCAATGGGGGTTCCAGGAGAGAGGAAATATATTTTTTACAATAATGGTTAAAAACTTCCCAAATTTGAATTTAAAAAAAAATCTGCACATTGAAGAGCGCAGGAAGTTTGAACTAGAATAAATACAAAGTAACATCATAGTCAAACTGGCGAAAGCCAAAGACAAAATGTTGAAAAGCCTCAGAGAAGAATGACCAATCCCATGAAAGTAGAGCTTCAATACCGCCAGCCGCTGACTTCTTAGAAACAATGGAGGCCAGAAGGCAGTGGAGTGGCACACTCAAACTGCTCAAAGAGAAGAACCGTCAGCCAGGAATCAAAACGGTTCTACCCAAGTGAAAGGGAATGAAAGACAGCATTCCCTGAGAAGCAAAGACTGGTGAAATTCATTGTTGGCGAGACCTGCCTTAAAGGAAATACTAAAGGAAGACCTTCAAGTTGAATGGAAATGACACCAGACGGTAACTTGAATCCTCAGGAAGGAAGGACAGGCGCTGCAGATAGGAAGTGTAGGTTGACATCAATATCCTATAAATATCTCTCCTCATATGTTAGGTTTTACTGGAACTACGGTTGTATAAAATAATTACACGGTGTTGTCATGGCATATAACACAAATGAACTGCACAAAGAAGAGAGAATGAAGCTGTATTACAACAGCTTTATCTTTTACTGGAATTCAGCTAGTATTGTGAGGCATACTGTGATCTCTAGGGCAGCCACTAAGAAAACAACTTTTTAGAAATTACAAATAACAGATTAAAATGGTATGGTATGCTAAACATATGTAATGTAAAATCAAAAAGGGAAGAATAAAAAAGACACGGAGCAAAGCAAAACCAGTAAATCCAAGCGTGTGTGTAATTACATGACATGTGAAAGGTCTGTGCCCCAAACAGACAGGGCCGATTATCAGATAGAAAAACAAGATCTAACTGTATGCTGTCTCCTAGAGAACGGGAAAAGGGGCAGCGTAGAAACATTAGCTCTCATAGGAGAGCTTGAATGGCTGTACTCATACCAGATAAAACATATGTTAAGAAATATTAGAAACCAGCCTGGCCAACATGGTGAAACCCCATCTCTACTAAAAATACAAAAATCAACTGGGTGTGGTGGCGCATGCCTGTAATCCCAGCTCCTCGGGAGGCACAGTTATGAGAATCACTTGAACTAGTGAGATGGAGCTTGCAGTGAGCTGAGATTGCGCCACTGCACTCCAGTCTGGGCGACAGAGCAAGACCCTGTCTCAAAAAAAAAAAAGCTAGAAACAAGGAGCAAGGACTTCACAGCCACAAAAGGGCCAATGCAGCAGGAAGAAGCAGCAGTGACATGTGCGAATGCATCTAACCACAGAGCCCAAAATCCGTGAAGCAAACACTGATCAAGTGGAAAGAAATCCATCATTTATTAATTAGAGTTGGAAATGTCAGCCGGGCACGGTGGCTCGTGCCTGCAAACCCAGCGCTTTGGGAGGCCAAGGTGGGCAGATATCTGAGGTCAGGAGCTCGAGACCAGCCTGGCCAACATGGTAAAACCCCATCTCTACTAGAAGTGCAAAAATTAGCCAAGGATGCTGGCGGGCGCCTGTAACACCAGCTACTCGGGAGGCTGAGGCAGGCGAATTGCTTGAACCTGGGAGGGTGAGGTTGCAGTGAGCCGAGATTGTGCCATTGCACTACAAAAGAATTAAATTAGAAATTAACAACAGAAAGAAACCTGGGGAAATCTTCAAACGTTAGGAAATCTAACAACACGATTCTGAATAACCCATGGCTCATAGAAATAATTATAAGGAAAACAGAAAATATTTTGGAGTAAATAAAATTGAAAACAACGTGGCCAGGCGCGGTGGCTCACGCCTGTAATCCCAACACTTAGGGAGGCCGAGGTAGGCAGATCATGAGGTCAGATCAAGACCATCCTGGCTAGCACAGTGAAACCCTGTCTCTACTAAAAATACAAAAAATTAGCCGGGCATAGTGGCAGGCAGCTGTAGTCCCAGCCACTCAGGAGGCTGAGGCAGGAGAATGGCGTGAACCCGGGAGGCGGAGCTTGCAGTGAGTAGAGATCAGGCCACTGCACTCCAGCCTGGGCGACAGAGCGAGACTCTGTCAAGAAAAAAAAAGAAAGTGTGAAAATTTAGAGATGCAGCTACAGCAATGCTTAGAGAAGGCACTTACATCAAAAAGGAGGTTATTACATTGACCAAGGCTTTCTTCAGCCGAAGAGATGAGAAGGAAGGAAAGCAGCAGACCCTGCCGTGCGGAAACTGTAGAGACGGCAGAACAGTCGCCCGGAGTGCTGGGTCCTGGACTACAGGTGCCCATGAGGAACGGGGTTGGTGATGGAAATGCCGAAAACTGGCTCGTGGTGACTGATGGTTGCAGAACTTCATCCATTTGCTAGAAATCATTGGATTCAGTGGTCGAATTTCATTTGTCAGCTTTTATTTTGAAGTAGTTTAGGATTCACGAGAATTTGGAAGTAGCACCTGGAATCCTGGAAGCCTCCATCCAGCCGCCTCCAGCGGTGACATCTGACGTAGACCAGCGTTGGCACAGTACTGTGCACTGCTAGACTGGAGGCCTTTTTCCATTGTTCCCAGTTCTTAGGTGTGTTCATTTCTCTGTGTATAGTGATACTTTTTTCTAAAAGCGTATTTTTCATCTTGTATCTGGGCTTAACTCTAGAAGAACACGAAAAATTGATTCTCACGGATCAGTGTTAGTTATTTGGCTGCTTTATGATGCAGCCAACTGCGGATATTCGGTCACTCATAGCTCCTACATTCCCAATGACGCCTTTTTAGGGAGCTTCCCCTGCCCCTCCCTTATCACGTTCGTGCCCACATAGGTGGGAAGTGGTCTGGGGTCCATGTGCCCAGACAATCCATTGAGTCACAGTCAGCACCGGGGCCTCGGCCTGAGTCTGTGGCCTCATCCCCACTTTTCCTAACAGGCTTTTCTGCCGGGGTGTTTTGTTTTGTTTTGTTTTGTTTTTAGCCTGTGCAGATTTATCTCATAGTTAATTTGGGTTTAAATTTGGTTGTCATACATACTGAAGGAAATGCTCGTGTTTTAGAGCTGCTAAACAGAAATATGCCAGAACCAGTGGGGTGTCTTTTTGTTTGTTTTTCGAGACAAGGTCTCACTCCTGGTCAAGCAGTCCTCTCACCTCGGCCTCCTGAGTAGTTGGGATCAGCGGTGAACACCACCGTGCCCAGCTAGTTTTCTGATTTTTGTAGAGACGGGGTGTCACTACATCTCCCAGACTACTCGTGTGACTCATTGGGGACAGAGCTCTCAGAATGTGTATATTGGCGGGCAAAGTGGCTCATGCCTGTAATCGCAGCACTGTGGGAGGCAGAGGCAGGAGGATCACTTGAGGCCAGGAGTTCAAGACCCTATCTCTACTAAAAATGCAAAAATTAGCCTTGTGTGGTAACACACGCCTGTAATTCCAGCAACTCGGGTAGATGAGACACGAGAATCGCTTGAACCCAGGAGGCGGAGGCTGCAGTGAGCCGAGATCGTGCCACCGCACTCCAGCCTGGGCAACTGAGTAAGACGCTGTCTCAAAAAAAAAAAAGAAAAGAAAAGAAAAGCGGCCGGGCGCGGTGGCTCACACCTGTAATCCCAGCACTTTGAAAGGCTGAGGCGGGTGGATCACGTGGTCAGGAGATCGCGACCATCCTGGTCAACACGGCAAAACCCCGTCTCTACTAAAAATGCGAAAATTAGCTGGGAGTGGTGGGCACCTGTAGTCCCAGCTACTCCGGAGGCTGAGGCAGGAGAATCGCTGGGACCCGGAAGGCGGAGGCTGCCGAGATCGCGCCACCGCACTCCAGCCTGGGGGACAGAGCGAGACTCCGTCCCAAAAAAAAAGGAAAGTAAAAGAAAAACTCTCCGTGTACCGAACTGCATAGAAAGCCAGTTGAGAAATTTGGGCAAAAACGCGATAGCAAGCTTTCTGTTCAGGGGGAATGATGGCGTGTGCCTCTTCCAGGGACCGCCTGGAGCAGTTAGAAAGGAAGCGGGAGCGGGAGCGCAAGATGCGGGAGCAGCAGAAGGAGCAGCGGGAGCAGAAGGAGCGCGAGCGGCGGGCGGAGGAGCGGCGCAAGGAGCGGGAGGCCCGCCGGGAAGGTAGGCGGCGCGGCGGCGGCTGCGCTCGGCGGACGCGTGTCTGCTGCCCCCTGGTGTCGGGCACGTGCTCTCACAGGCGGGTGCTTGGTCCCTGTGCTCGGTTTTGCCCCCGCCTTTTTTTGGGAGAGAGTTTCGCTCTTGTCACCCAAATTGAAGTGCAATGGCGCGATCTCGGCTCCCTGCAACCTCTGCCTCCCGGGTTCACGTGACTCTCCTGCCTCAGCCTCCCGAGTAGCAGGGATGACAGGCACCCGCCACCATGTTCAGCTCAGTTTTTGTATTTTTAGTAGAGACAGGGTTTCACCATGTTGACCAGGCTTGTCTCGAACTCTTGACCTCAAGTGATCCACCTGCCTCGGCCTCCCAAAGTGTTGGGATCACAGGCCTGCCCCTGCCTTTTTATTTTTTTTTTAAGACGGAGTCTCGCTCTGTCACCCAGGCTGGAGCCCTGTGGTACTATCTCGGCTCACTGCAACCTCCGCCTCCAGGGTTCAAGCAATCCTCCTGCCTCAGCCTGTGGAGTAGCTGGGTTTACAGGCGCCCGCCAGCACGCCCAGCTAATTTTTATATTTTTCGTGGAGACAGGGTTTCGCCATATTGGCCAGGCTGGTCGCAAACTCCTGACATCAAGTGATCCGCCTGCCTCTGCCTCTCCAAGTGCTAGGATTAGAGGCATGAGCCACCGCAGCTGGCCACCCCTTCCTTTTTCATTTCCCCAGTTTTTAGAAACTGTGATAAAACATGTATATTGTAAAATGTACCATCTTCACTATTTCAAGTGTAGAATTCAGTGGTATTAATGCATTCACAGTGTTGTGCAACCATCTATCCACAGAACTCTCTTCTTGTAGAATTAACACCATCCCCATCAAACAGCAACTTCCTGTCCCCAGCCCCGGCACCCACCATCCCACTTTCTTTCAGTTTGGCTGCTCGGGATGCCGCTTGTGAATGGAATCGCAGTCATTGTCCTTTTGTGACCGGCTCACTCAGCAAAGTCCTCAGGGCGTCGTGCTGTGGTGGGGGTCGGCGGGCCCTTCCTTCTGCACCGTTGGAGGAGGAGGAGGAGGCGGTGGTGGCAGCCAGCCGCCTCACCGGGCTTTGTTACCTCTTGGCCTTACTGCCTCCCCCTCATTTTCCACATAATTGTCTTGTGTTCAGTTGAGTTTTTGGTAGAGAAATGTTTAAATTCCTCTCTCATTTATGTTTTATATCTCTTGACTTTCTGATTACAGTAACGATTACACTGAACATCCTGCAGTTATAATGCACTAGTTTGAATTGAATGCCAAGTTAACTGCAGTAAAATACAAAAACTTGACTCGGGGAGTGTATATTCAGGGCAACTTAAATCTATGCTCCCAGGCTGCAGCCCTTTGAAATAAAAACACAATGAAGAAAACAAAAAACAAACTGCTTCTTTAGCAGTTCCACTCCCACTTCCTGTCGACATCACTAGATCACATTTATACATTGTCCATAAATGATGACATCTTTATGCATTGTCCATAAACTTAATAATCCCTTTTTAAATGCATTAGCCTGTTAAACTATGTAGAAAACAAAAAGTGGAGTTAAAAATCATTGTCACAACAATGCTTTTTGATTAATAATTGCTGCTTTTTAAATGTGTTAATCTTTTAAATTATATAGAAGATAAAAAGTAGAGTTCTAAAACACTGTTACAATAACACGAGCTTTTATAGTTACCCACGTCCTCACCTTAATGGAGATCTTTATTTCTTCACCCAGCTTCCGGTTTCTGTCTCGCGTCCTTTCATTACACCCCACACAACTCCCTGGAGCTTATTCTCCAGGGCAGGTCTAGGTCTAGCAGTAATGAACTCCCTCTGCTTTTGTTTATCTGGGAACATCCTCATTTCTGTCTCACCTTCGAAGGAAAGTTGCTGGATACGTGGTTCTTGGTTGATAATTTTTTTGTTGTTTTGAGACAGAGTCTTGTTCGGTTGTCCAGGATGGAGTGCAGTGGAGCAATCATAGCTCACTGCAACCTCGAACTCCTGGGCACAAGTAATCTTCCCACCTCAGCCTCCCACGTGGCTGGGACGACAGGCGTGTGGCACCACACTCGGCTCATTTTTCAGTAGAAACAAGGTCTCCCTGTATTGCCCAGGCGGCTCTTGAATTCCTGGGCTCAAGGAACCCTCATGCCTAGCTGACAGTTTTTCCTTTTCACTTACAATATTTCAGCCCATTGTCTTCTGGCCTCCAAAGTTTCTGGTGAGAAATCTGATGATCTTATTGAGGATCCCTTGGATGCTTTTAAGATTCTCTTTGGCTTTGGCTTTCAACTGTTTAATAATGGGTTTTCGTGTGGGTCTCTTGATTTCATTCTACCTGGCGTTCATTGAGCCTCTCTAATGTTTATATTCATGTTTTTCATCAAATGTGGGGGGTTTTAAGTAATTCTTCAGATACCCTCTCTGTTCCTCTCCTGCTTCCTGGACTCCCACGGATCTGTTGGGGTCCCCGAGGCCCCTGAGCACTGCTCACTTTTCTTCAGTCTCTTCTGCTTTTTCCTCAGACAACGTGATTTTATTGTATCTTCAGGCTCACCAATTATTTCCTCTGCCTGCTCCATCTGCTTGTGAGTTTCTATTGTGAATATTTACTTTTTAGTGTTTATTGTGAATATGTACTTATTGGCTCTGGAATTTCTCTCTGGTTTCTCGTTGAATCTTCTGTCTCTGTTGATATTTCCGCTGTGTTCACGCGTCATTTTCTTGACTTTCTCCACATCTTCCTTTTGTTCTCTGAGGAACTGAAGGTTGAGACAGTTCGTTAAGTGTTCGTCTGGGACATCTACCATCAGGTGATTTTCAGGAACGGTGTCTTGTTGGCTTATTTTTTTTCCCTCTGAATGGGACATACTCTCCTGTTTCTTTGTTTCTCTTGTGTTTTTCTTAGTCAAAAAAATGGACATTTGAATCTCATGATGCGATTCTTCCTGGTCACCACTCAAGGGTGTGCACGTGCTGGTTTGGTCGTGCTGGGCTGTGTCTGGGGTCGGCCTGTTGTGGAAACTCGGGCTCTTCAGGGGTCTTTTCCGAGCCTGTGCCTTTCCCTGGTCATGCGCAGACACTCTTTAACGTTCCCGTCAATACAGCTGTTTTTAATGTTCTTGTCCTGAAGTGTCTGCCTCCTAAAGGGGGAAAAGAGAGAAATGAAAGGGGCAAAGGGGGATGTGGCGTTCATGCCCTGGAAGTACCTTCAGCCTCGGGGACAGCCATGGCTGCTGCCTCTTCATGCCTCTGGGGTGGGACGCACAGTCATCACACTGACCTCGGGTGTGCGTGTCCGTCTGCCCACCTCGATCCGTCTACCCACGTGTGTCCGTCTGCCCTCCTGGGTCTGGCGAGCTGCATGCAGGCTGCTGCCTGCCACGGGGGGAGTAGGGTGGGAGCCACTAAATGTGTGAAGAGGTGACGTTGATTCATGAATCACAATTTACTCGCCAAGATTTCCCCTGAAGTTGCAAACCTTCAATAGACTACAGAGCACCTCGGTAGTTGCACAGGACTGATCCTGTGAAGCAACTGCTATCTAGGTGGGGAGACTGATTCCCAGTGCTTCCTACTCCATCTTTCCAGAATCTTCTCCCGCCCTTTCCTTTTTGACCAGTGAAGATCAGTCTAGAAGGTCCACCTGGGTCCTTGGGCTCACGGCCTCCAGGTTGGAGCTTTTTCTCCCTGGGCTTCTTAGCCTCTGACCCCGATGCCGTCAGCACCGTGTGTGCGCTGTGGGTGTGTCTGCCAGGTGTGGGTGTGGGAGACGAGGCAACCGTGCCCGGGTGGGGCCTTTTGAGGAAGGCAGTGTTGCTAGTACCATCTCCTTCTCTGCCCTGCACGCCAGTGTCCGCACATCACCGAACGATGAGAGAGGACTACGGCGACAAAGTGAAAGCCAGCCACTGGAGTCGAAGCCCGCCGCGGCCGCCGCGGGAGCGGTTCGAGTTGGGAGACAGCCGGAAGCCAGGTGAGGCCAGGCCGGCGCCTGCACAGAGGCCAGCACAGTGTGAGTCTTTTCTGGGGGGTGTTTGGCATAAATTTGTAAGATTCATGTAATGAAAGCCCAGCTAAGTAATGTCTCCAGAAGAAAACGATAGATGCGCTGGCTGAAGTCCTCTCGTGTTGTGAGAGAGACCGTGAGTGTCTGTGTGCGGCCAGGACACACGACGTGTGTTTATCTGCTGGGACCTTTGCCACTGGCCCCATTAGAGAAGTGACTTCCAGCATCTGTGGATAAGCTGGTTTCTTACCAAGCGAAGTTAATCATGTGAAAGGCACTAGTTTTGGGGTGGTGTTACCTTGTTTGTTTAAAAAGCATTTCCCCAAATTCACTTTTAATGGTTTATTTCATAAGTAAAAGAAGAGAAAATGGAAGAAAGAGACCTGCTGTCCGACTTACAGGACATCAGCGACAGCGAGAGGAAGACCAGCTCAGCCGAGTCCTCATCAGGTACCTGGAACTGCCTGGCCAAGGCCTTGACCACTGCTGCCAGGAAGGCCCAAGTTCACCCTCCGCTCTGCTGTCTTTCTACAGCGGAATCAGGCTCAGGTTCTGAGGAGGAAGAGGAGGAGGAGGAAGAGGAGGAGGAGGAAGGAAGCACCAGTGAAGAATCAGAGGAGGAGGAGGAGGAGGAGGAAGAGGAGGAGGAGGAGACCGGCAGCAACTCTGAGGAGGCGTCAGAGCAGTCTGCCGGTGAGTCACCACGATGACTCTGTGAGGTGGTGTGACTTCACTGTAGTGTTAGAAACTGCAGAGAAATAGCTGGTGGGCGGGGGAGTTGAAACTCCCTTCTATCTAGGACTTTCTCAGGACACCTCCACATCGATTCTTTTGTTAGTTTTTTGAGACAGAATCTTGCTCTGTTGCCCAGGCTGGAGTGCAATGGCACGATCTCGGCTCACTGCAACCTCCGCCTCTCGGGTTCAAGTGATCCCTCCTGCCTCATCCTCCCAAGTAGCTGGGACTACAGGCGTGGGCCACCATACCCGGCTAATTTTTGTATTTTTAGTCGAGTCAGGGTTTCACCATGTTGGCTAGGCTGGTCTCGAACTCCTGACCTCAGGTGATCCACCCGCCTCGGCCTCCCAAAGTGCTGGGACTACAGGTGTGAGCCACCGCGTCCGGCCTCTGTGTCGATTCTTGGGAACACTTGTTGCTTAGCTGAAGCGGAGCCCGCATCCTGCCTGTGACAGCCCCACCCCAGTGCCGGTCTGAGCAGACGCCTCCTTTCTCTTGCAGAAGAAGTAAGTGAGGAAGAAATGAGTGAAGATGAAGAACGAGAAAATGAAAACCACCTCTTGGTTGGTAAGAGGCCTCCCTGGAGACAGAGCACCCCCCTTGTCTGTCTCCAAGTGCAGCGGCCCTCTCTTAAGACGGCCGGTCCTGCGAGGCAGGGGCACGCCAGGGGCCGGGAGGCTGCCTGATTCATTGGCCGCTGCAGTCTGTGCCGGCGGGGCCCACATTCCTCAGTGAGGCTCGGTGCTAACCAAGGGCGTCCTATGTGCCCAGCAGGGCCGAGGAGCTGGGAAGCCCAGGCCCAGTTCCCCACAGGGGAGGCCAGTCAGATGGTGGCTCGGCCGGTCCCTGCAGAGTGGAGGCCTGGCCTGGCCTCCGGCCGGCAGTGAGGCTGTGTCTTCCGCCTGGGGGACATGGATCCAGGCGCGTCCCCCGCAGGACACCGCGTACCTCCTCCCAGCTCAGCATCTGGGCGCTTTTTCAGTCGAGCCCGCCAGCGCTCCTAGGCCTCAGTACCCTGGGTCCAGGGGGCGAGAGCCCAGCAGCAGCACCTCCCAGCAGGACACAGGGCAGCCCTGCCACATGCTTCATGTCCCCGGGGCAGGAGGAGGTTCGTGATCTTTGCTTGTCTTAGCTTCATAATTAGGTTCAACTTTTCCAGTTCCAGAGTCACGGTTTGACCGAGATTCCGGGGAAAGTGAAGAAGCAGAGGAAGAAGTGGGTGAGGGGACGCCGCAGAGCAGCGCCCTGACAGAGGGCGACTACGTGCCCGACTCCCCCGCCCTGTCACCCATCGAGCTCAAGCAGGAGCTGCCCAAGTACCTGCCAGCCCTGCAGGTCAGGCCCTCCCCTCGCCCCGGGCCACTCGCTGTCTGCATTGGCAGTTGGAGTTACCGCAGGGGCTGAGCGAAGCCTGGCCCCGTGTTGGCGTCTGTCTCCTCACAGGGCTGCGGGGCCCACCGGGGCAGTGAGGGGCAGGCACAGCCGCTGGCCCCTTGTGCTTCTGGGTCCTGCCTCTTTCTCGTGCTGGACGGAACTGGGTGGACAGGGAGGTGCCCGCAGCTTGGAAGGCAGGCAGCCTGGGCGTGCGGCTGCCCTGCTGTCACTGCCACCTGAGCTGTGTCCTCCTCCGCACTGGAGAACAGTGCCCTCCAGTTGACCCCTGCGTGGGTGGGTTACGTAGGCACCAAGGCCTTGTTACCAGCATCTGTGCGGGGCTTGGATGGTGGCTGCGGGAGTCAGTGTAGATGTGTGTGGCCAGAAGCCTTTTGTTCAGGCAGCTATCACTGAGGCAGGATATTACTTGGAGCGATTTGGAAGGGACAGGCCTGAGAAGGTACCAGTGGCCTCGGGGGCCTAGGAGACCGGCAGGGACTCGGCCCCCTCCTTGGTGCCTGTGGGTGGAAAGGTTCTCTCTGGCACATGCGGCCTCTGTCGACTGCTCTATGCATTGTAAGCGCCTCTGCCCCTTAGTGTTCCTGAGCATAGGCGTTGGGCCACAGGCCACCCCGAGTATGTGACATCCGGCCTGGGCACCGGCCCCAAGGTACACCCAGGGGGAGGTGCCCTGGCATGGGGCGCCATGCTGCACCTGGCAGGTAGTGCCCGTCCTCAGTGTCATCCTGGTACAAGCAGGGGACACACCCAGTTTGACAGGGACACTCTCTGGATGGCCTTTTATTTTGGAGACTGGGTCTGGCTCTGTCACCCAGGCTGGAGTGGAGTGGCTTAATCATGGCTCACTGCAGCCTCCACCTCCCAGGCCCAGACAATCCTCCCATCTCAGCCTCCTGAGTAGCTAGAACGACAGGCGCAGTCTGCCATGCCTGGCTACGTTTTTAATTTTGTAGAACACAGTTTTGGTCGGGCACAGTGGCTCACGCCCATAATCCCAACACTTTGGGAGGCCGAGGTGGTGGGTGGATCATGAGGTCAGGAGTTTGAGACCAGCCTGACCAACATGGTGAAACCCCATCTCTACTAAAAATACAAAAATTAGGCCGGGCGCGGTGGCTCAAGCCTGTAATGCCAGCACTTTGGGAGGCCGAGACGGGTGGATCACGAGGTCAGGAGATCGAGACCATCCTGGCTAACACGGTGAAACCCCATCTCTACTAAAAATA